GTGACCAGACAGCAAGTGTGAAAAATCGGGACGGGGGTGGGGGGTAATAGGAGCCTATATAAGAAAAAGACCCCAAAATCGGGACTGTCCCTATAAAATCGGGACATCTGGTCACCCTAAGCGTTGGGCCTTCATTCAGCAGTATAGGTCTGTCTCCTTTAACGGGAATTAGAATTGCTTTGTTTTCCCATTGGGGCTTTTACATGCTTCAGCCGATTTCACGTGAGAAGAGGTACAGACTGTTGAGAAGCTTGTCCTGCCGTTGCGGAGGCGGCAGCTGGGTTTGCGGAGAGTAACTCAGCAGTACATGTGGCACGTGGCAGCAGCATTCAGTTCATCTGTATTTTTTTGGGTGGTAAATACATTTAAAATACGTCTGGTCTAGATTTCCAAAAGCGATTCGTTGATTTGGGGTGCCCAACTTGAGGCAACCAAAAGGGCCCGTTTTCCAAGCGTGAGTGCTTGGAAGGTATCACACATTTGGCTTCTGAAAAAATGATGTCCCCCCAAATCACTAGAAAAACGTAGGCCAACATAGAATAAGGCAAGGAGACAGTTTGATTATGTATTTAGCATGTTTGTTATGGCAATGCCGGAGGACCAGCTAAGAACAGGGCCTCATGGTGCTAGGCGCTGTACAGTGAGACAGTCCCTGTCCCGAAGTGCTTATAATCTAAATAGAGAAGATAGATTAGGGGGAAAGGATATAAAGAGATTTAAGTGTTGGGCTATTTGCTGCAGTTGTTCAAAACAGCTGCCAGCTCTAACGAGGCTTGATTTCTCAGGATGCAACTGAGTTGGCTGAACCTTTTGGCATTTGGGGCATTGCAGAACATGTTGAATGGTGAGACATTTACACGCACTGGCTTGAATAAGGCCTTATAGGTTATCAAATCCACCATTAAAATGTCACTGATTTGGTACCAAGTGTCACATGGACTCCTGGTGCTATTTCGAAAAGGGATGAGCGTCGTATACATTGTTTGCAGTGTTGTTCTAGCCAGTTGGTCCCAGGATATTAGAGAAACAAGGTGGGTGAGATCCAGAAGACCCTGTAGCTCGAAAGTTCGTCTCTTTCAGCAACAGCAAAAAATATTGCCTCACCTACCTTGTGTGTATACGGTCTAATATGGCCACCTAATGGAATCAGGGAGAAATGCAACTTGTCTTCTGTAACCCCTCGGAGAAAAATCGACACTGAGCTTTCATCTTGAATTTAATTCCTGTTTTCAGATGCAGCAAACCCCACAATAGGGTTAGAAACGGCAGTGCCTTTTTGGAGGTTTGCTCTACGATCTAATTCACCTTGGAATGCACCTGAGACTGCAAACATTTATGGTTCTTTTCTGCCTGAACAGCGTAATAATAAAACCAACCAACCAACAGAAACAATTTAGAGTAAGTCGATTTTATTGTGCTCAGTATCCATTCCCCGGTTTGGGATAAACGACGTCAACTTACTTGCCTGAGGGAATCTGAACTGTATCAATTACTAGATACAGAAGGATGCTTCTCATCTTTAGCTGTAGGACTTAACACCCAAAGTGCTACACGGTAATAACACCCATCTCCTGATAGTACTTTTCAGCAGTAGATCGCAACGTGTTTCCCTAAGGAGGTATCACTAGCTTGTTCTCAAAACCCTTTAATGATGGGGATTCCACAACCTCCCTGGTCCAGAGCTCTACCAAGAGCCAGTAGCCCACCAGTCATCAATCATTGTGAAATGTTTGTACCGCTAATATTCAAGGAATTATGTGTCTATACTGAAAATTATGGTCTTAAGGCAGGTAACCAGGTGACTTGTCTTGGACAGGTTCCTTTCAGGCAAGGGGTAAAAGCTGCTTATCTCCCTGTCTGGTCATTGTGTGTCTCACCTTGTAGGCCTATTTGCAAACTGAGCCAGATTAATAGATTGCAAAATCTACACACAGGAAAAAACAATGGGGTGTGAGGGTGGGGGAACATATTGTTCTCATCTATCTAGGGGTGCAAACAGGCATCCAGGATCTTTCACCAAGGAGGCAAGCTGACAGCACAACTGGATGGAAGATCACAGCCAAGCCTGGCTGTAAAACATTGGAAGGACTGTGGGTGAGCATTGTCCGGCAAGTCTAGCCTCTAGAATGCACGTTGATTTTATTTTCTACATAACCATTTGTCCCCAATCACTTGAATCTCTGTACATCATTACATAAACTGTAAACACGGCTAAGGACTGCACCGAAGCCGTGAATACTCTACAGTGAGTTTCCAGCAACACAGGGGCTGGATGCTCAGGGACGTGCTTGGAGGTGCCAACCTGTAGAGAGCATACGGCCTGCATAGGTCCAGAGGGGAGCTTTTGGGTTGCCAGGGCTGGTGAGTCCGGGAGCTGAGCCCTGTCGTGCACAGACAAGACTTCCCCCCAGCTAAGGGCAGGTGGCAGAGAGGTGCATCACAACCCTAGGTACCTCCAGGAGGCATCACAGGAACTCCTGTGAGGGAGGGGGCCCACAGACAGGGAAGGGTCAGCAAGCAGGCTGGTTGGAGTGGGGAGTACTGATGAAGATACACTGGGGCGAGAGGGCTCCATAAAAGGCACTGGGACTTGGGGCAGAGGGTCATGAACAGAGGGCTGAGGACAAAGCAGGAGTCGTCGTCACAGGGTATATGGGAGGAGGGAAGGGACCCAGGGGAGACAGGGCTGGCCAGGCTTTGCAGGGAAATGGTGACAGTGGGGTGGGTGTTGGTTTCCCCAGCCGAGCAGAGCGTAGGGTCCTGAGACCACACAGTGGGTTGCCCCCTGGGGCAAATGCCTGATTCCCAGTTTTGGGCAGTCGTCAGCGTAACTGTGATGTGACTCATCCATGCACTGCAGTATCCTCTTGTATCTGTCCTACAACTCATACTTACAGTGCACGCAATGACGGATCCTCATGGTGTCTGGCTCCCAGGCCCTTCACTACCTTGGGAATGTGGAGTGGCACCTGCCACCCCCACGTTGTGGGAGCAAGGACACCCAAACTTCCCTGCCTTATGGCTCCCACTCTCTTCTGCCCCTTTCAGTTTCTCTCCTTTATATGGCCCAGGTGCCTTCTCTTAAGCCCAGCTGGGAGGCAGCTGACAAGTCCCAAGTGGACTGGACCCTGGCCAGTCACCCTGTAATTAGGTGTTTGCAGCAGACGGGTTACTCTTCTGGCCACCAAAAATGTAAAAAAACAAAACAAAAAAAGCCTCTAAATGTGTTAAGCTGAAGAGGCTTTTGCATGCAAGAGACACAAATACTACTGTGCCTGCACCAGAGTTCAGGAGGGATGCAGAAGCAGCCTGAGAGCGACCTCAGAGATCAGAAGGGGCAGGGAGTGAACCCAGCATGCAGAGCCCAGCTCCTGGGCCAGGCAGACAGCTACTCTCATGGAGACCTCCTGGAGAGATGAGAGTGGCTGGGCCCAGGAGGATGGGGGCTACCAGGCCACACATGGACCCAGCAGTCACCCATCCTCAGCTTGTAACTGAGCTGTACATATAGTAGCCTCCAACTTTTAAACCCACCCAACCCACTCTTTCAGCCAGCCAGCCAATCGCAAGGGCATGATGTGTAACACCACAGGGTTACCAAGGTAAGGGGGCAGGGCCATCCCCCACCTCATAAGCAATTTCCCAGGTTGTGCTGGGATGAGGTTGTGATTAGGATGGTAACCACTGCACAGAATGCATTGGAACCCACGATCTGGCCATCTAGGTAGGGAGAAGGGTGAAAATAAGCAGATAGTAAAGTTTCCATCTGTCCGAGTTATGTCAGGGATTATTAATGGCGCAGAAGGAAATTGGTATTAATTTTAAAAGAAATTTTAATCCTCCCGAGTCATCTTATGAAACCCAACTCCCTCCCCACCCAGGTGCTCCTGGCGCTTTCAATCCAGTGCTTGCAATCCCCTTCATTACCCCAGAACAAGGAGCAATGGTCTCAAGTTGCAGTGGGGGAGGTCTAGGTTGGATATTAGGAAACACTATTTCACTAGGAGGGTGGTGAAGCACTGGAATGCGTTACCTAGGGAGGTGGTGGAGTCTCCTTCCTTGGAGGTTTTTAAGGCCCGGCTTGACAAAGCCCTGGCTGGGATGATTTAGTTGGGAATTGGTCCTGCTTTGAGCAGGGGGTTGGACTAGATGACCTCCTGAGGTCCCTTCCAACCCTGATATTCTATGATTCTATGTTCCGATTTGCAGCAGCTGCTAAGCGCTAGGTTGATTTCCTCAGATTTCTGATCTGCTCTGCACACTCCGGTGGATCAAAGCAAGTTCGATATAACGCAGTTTCACCTATAACGCGGTAAGATTTTTTTGGCTCCCGAGGACAGCGTTATATCGGGGTAGAGGTGTAGTTGTATTGAGGTTGATGTGCGGCCATAACCTCATAGCATAGATGCAGCCTACCCCCGTGGAAGGGGGGTTACTGGTGATGTAGGAACATCTCCCTAAACAAAAGTTTGTTTCTACTGAGGAAACCTTTGTCCAGCGACATAGCTGCACCTACACTGGGGGTGAGGTCATCATAGCTCTGTCAGTCAAGGTGTGTTCTGTTCACCCCTCTGACCTCCATAGCTATGGTGACCTAACTTTTAAGTGTAGACCAACCCATAAGAATAACGATCCTCTGCCTTGCTTGGGGGCACCACTCAGTGTTCCCTGTGTGGACACACACTATCCCAGAAGAAAAGTGAGTTCATTCCAGTAAAATTATTCACAAGTGAACTTTGAGAGACCTAGTGGGAAATACAAACGCTGGACACAAATCTCTGCCTGTTTCCTCATCACTCCAAGAGCCTTACGGGATTTGGTCAGTGTCTTTTCTGTGTTCCTGGACCCTCTTCTCTTTCTTCTCCATCTAGCCTGTTTCTCTGTCCCTAAAATGGCTGGTAAGAGAATCCTCCTTTTAAAGTTGCAGTCCCCTTTGTCAGGTGACCTCCTGGTCAAATTCTAACTCTGGCATTTGCAGTGCCATTGGGACAGAAGACAGGTAACTGTAAACTGGTTTTATTTATGGAAAATGGAATGCTTCATCGACTAACATTTTAAATGGGGTATGAACAACACATTACAAAAACAAAGGCGTTCACATTGTAGTGAGCTATATAATGTGGCAGCAGCTTAAAAAAATGACACATTGATGGTAACCCATCGGTTACAATTAATGGGAACCCTGGGTAAGAGAGAATTCACCTCTGTTGCCATCTCACATTAAAAAATTAAAACACATTCAGTAGCGACGGTTGAAACGGGGGTCACTGGGTCTGTTTGCTCTCTCCTGGCCTGCAAATCCTTCCCCTTGAATCCCTCCGCCATGCACCATCTGGCCTTGGCCGCCACTCTGCATGAAGCCTCCACGCCTACAAAGAGATTCACACACTAAGTTTTCTTCAAAGCGTTTAAGTTTTCACAGCAACCTCGATGATCAAATTGATACAATTGGTGCCATTTGCATTTCTTGTATGATTTTCGCTCAGTAAGATGCACCAGGTAAAAATCATGGGAATATTTATTACTCACTGACATTGTATCAATGACAAATCACAAACGTTCTTGAATTATTTTACGTTGCATAACTCCAAATAACTTTTGTTCTCTCACAAAAGATTCTGCTGAATAATTTAAACATGCAAAGGAATGACTGTTACAAAGGGAAGGGAATGGGAATAAAAGGTACAAACCCCAATTATCCTTGATAAAGCTGCTTACCCTGACAGGCCTCCCCGATGCACTGCATGGCCTGGCCTGCCTCTACCACCACCTAGAATTAAAAAGAATGTTTCAAGCATTCCCTTTATTATTCCCCCTATTCCAGTTTTGCTTTCTTTATGCTAATAATGCTCTATGTTTACCAGTAGAAGTCTAGCAGCAATTAGCAATAAAGCAGTAAGTGTACCTTGCCATCTCTCATGATCCCGTCCCATCATTCCTCCATCTGCACTGCCCTGCCATGAACGATCTTTATGTCCCTCAAACTTTCGACCATGATCTCCCCAATCACGTCCATCTCTGGAAGGAAAGAAAGGAAGAAAAATCTTTAGGTATGTTTCTTACCAGTTTCATAGCATGCAGTGAAGCCAAACGTAACATCTCATTCATAAACATATTAGTATCATTTACCAAGATACAAGCTTACCAATCCTGAATCTACAATGTTCAGCTGTTTAACCATACCTCAGTAATAAAGTTGCTGAACAATCCACCTAATGTAACAAATGAGGAAATAGGATTTCCTTAATCCTCTTTATGCAACAGGGTATATTTGATGCACAATGACTTCTTCTCCGAGTATCCAGGCTGGCCATTCTGACCAACCCACTAATCAAAATTCAATCTGAGAACAATGTATATTGTCATGTTCTGCAGAGTGGTTTATTCAGAGGAAATAGTATCTAATTTTAAAGTTAACAAAATGTTCAGCTTTGGAAGTGTTTTTACTGGGTTGTTTTCCTGAAGGGAGTTAAATGCTCTTCCAGGCTGGTCCCTGCCACTTCAACTGAAAATCAGAGGTAAAACCACACTGTGGAACTGACAAATGTGAATAGACACAGAAGTAACAAACAGTAAATCTTAATATTGCGATAAAAGGAAGATTAATGGAGTAATTTCACTGAATACCTGTGAGTGCTTCAGTTATACAGTTGGAAAATCTTAATTCATGCTGAGACTGGCATGATGGTTAAACAAGAACTGTCTGGGATTCCAGGTTTGTCCCATATTGGGTTTTCCATTAAGATTCTGGCTTCTCTTCCATTTAACAGTCTCAAATTCAGTCCACTAACTAAAAGTTACTCACTCTTCAAAGAATTTCAGGAGCACCAGGGTCATAATCAAATTTGACCCTTAGAAGAGGAAGCCTTACAAGAGATCATAGGCAAAGCACAGCAACTCCTTACTACAGAGCTCCATGATGCCCAGGGGCGCTACATGTGTAAATCCATTGCACAGCCAGGAGAGAACAGACCCTCAGTGAAACTATTGGAGAGAGGATTTACTCGGGTAAAACCGGTTCCCTACTATCACCCTTCAAAAAGTTCATCTGAAGTTTCAAAGAAGCGTGACCATTGCAAGTGCTGGTGAAAGACTGCCCTCATTTCCACATACTAACCGAGACTGTGCAGGAATCCCTCTCCCTTCACTCATTCTTCTGTCAGACCCATAGCCACCCCAACTGTCCCGTGAGTCTCGTGAATGACGATCTGGTCCTCCGTGGCGCTCATCTGCATAATGCTGAAAGATGAAGGGTACACGTTGGAATGCTGTAACCTGATCCTCAATTTGGTAAGAGCTGGTCAATAGAATTTACCCAATTCAATAACCTATCCATCAGTACAGGGCACGTTAGGATCGCAAGATTTCAGAAAGCCCATCTAGGAATGTCACCACTAGAGCAAAAATTTTCCTCTAAACAACTTCAAAACTTTTTTGCTAATTTCATTTTGGTCTAGTTTAATCTGAAAGTTACTGTGTGAAATTAATTTCTTCCAATGACTTCCTTACTCACTTTTACCTCTATGTTGTGCCTTTGCATTTTCTATGCACCCTTTTGGTACACTTTACCATACTGAGACACTCACTAGTTGTGTTTATAGTGCCAGAGGAATTACCTCTGATGTATTTGTGTACCAGTAAATAGAACAAGCGATCAGATTACTCAAGTGTTTTCATTTTTACCTATTTAAAAAAGAAATTAAATTTTATAATGCATACGTTTTCCTTTCCTTATCTGCATCTCTTACACTAGTTCACTATAAATTAATCTGACATTCAGTATAGGAAATCAGTTTATAAAAATTAAGCTACTCTAGGCCAATATACCCAATACAACTCACCTGCCCATCGCGATCTCCCATCACTGTTCTTGATCCTTCTCTCCTGAAAAGGAGCAATTGGAATCAGAATCTTGCAATAACATTATTAAACTGTAACGTATACGAAGTATTTAGGGCTGTATTTTCACAGCTGCTGAGCACAGGTTTCTGCTGGAATTGTAGACTCTCAATCTTTACAAAGTATCAAATTTCACCTGCACATATGGAAACTGTGAAACATTCTGATCAGTTTAAAAACCTAGTCAGTCTCAACAGAAGGTAAATAGAATATTCATTGTAGAGAGACATTTATCTTGTCTACATGTTAGTGTGAGCTTTTCAAACATTTGGCAACTTTCTGACTTGCAGCACTGGGAATATATAAATATGAAAGAAACCAATTAGTCATGGGAAAAAAGTGCCGGGTGCTCACAATGCTGTGTCAGGGACTTTATGAGTCCTATTGCAGTAAATTTTGCTTGTAATGCTATTTCCCACATTTTGAACAAATTTGTTGGAAGCTTTTAGTTGATGACACAGTACAGTCAAACACCTTGTTTTGTAAGGTTTCTTCTGGTTACACAGGTTTCACAAGTAAACCCCATAGACACTTACAAACTTCAGCCTGGAACAAGAATAGACAAGCTCTGAGGTCCTTTTTTAAAAAAAACCAACAGTATTTATCAAACAAATAGAGAAAAATGCCATACTAAATATACTATTGCCTTTACCTGATTTCAGGCAATGCAGGAAAACAAAACACTAACCTGTCCATAGAATGGTCTTGGTATCGGCCACGATCCCTGTGGTCATAATCATGGAATCGATCTTGGCGGCTAAAATCAGAATGGTATCTGTCATCCATCGCCATTCGCTTTGCCTCTGGCCAGTAGGAGTCATCTCGCCTATAATAAAGTAGAGATTTAATACAATATTGTAGTCCAGATAGAATCATCTTTCTGTTTCGTTCTCTTCATCTCTTGTCTCATTTAATTACTACCTTTTTTTAAAGATAAGCATAATTGTTTACAGGATAAGATATTTTCTTACAGAAGAGGAGAGGTGACAGATATGAGAAAGGAATACAGCAGAGCTGAGGCAGTACAAGTTATGAGTTACAGTACGTGTACACAGAATTACAAAAATTATATGAATTACACTGTTAATCAGTTCCGTCCTTGTTTCTTTGAATCTAAATTAAGGAAATACATTATTCCATTTCTATTCTGTGATATATCTGAACAGTTAATAATTAGATTTGATTATTAAAATCTCATCTGCCAAAACAGTATCTGAGTTTCAGAAAAAAGACTGCTTTGAGTTAACCTATATCAATCTTTACCTTATTGTGCATGTGCTGAAACAAGAGAAGAAATATTTCCTTCTATCTGCATTTGTTTTAAGATTTTCTACAGTAATTTGTCCATCTGTCACAAGGCCTGTCTATATGAACTATTAGTGCAGGGCACGCTGGGATGTAAATCTACCTTGTACTAGCCTGCCATGCACTAACTGTGTAGACTCTGATGCTGTGCACTAAAAGTTCCCTACTGTGCTTTGATCTACCTGTCTTCAGTACACCCGGAAACTTTTAGTGGTCAGCAGCAAGGTCCAGAGACAGTTGGTGCACGGCAAGCTAGCACAAGGTAGCTTTACATCCCAGCGTGCCACACACAATCCCTCAGTCAACTTTTCCCTGACGGCCTCTTAAAACAGACTGCTTGAACTCCAGTCAAAATGAGATTCCTATCAGCAACAGAGGGAGAAAGATAGATCGAAGTAGGTTTTTTGAAATTACATGGATCTTCTAATCCATGTAGGGATTTAGGGGAATTTACTATATTTTGAGTTTTCTCAATTCAGAGTGAACTGTTATAGGTAACTCTATGAAGAGTTTAAAGTGTTTAAGAATGGTTACTGACTGAACTGTTTAATAGTGACAAGCACATTTTTGCATGTAATCTAGTGGAGCATTTGACAGAAAAGCCCATCAATGACTGTCCGCCTACGTAGTTCTCTCCGTGGTTTGGGACTTCCAGAGAGAATCTAAGGACTGCTAGCTTTTCTACTTGCATCAACAAACGGGAAATCATTAACTCACTGTATTTGGAGTTTTTACCTCCCATCTATGTCATATGGTCTTCTCAGTGCCGATCGCCGTTCCTGTTCATAGCGAAGTTGTTCATGCTGACGACGCAGCTCCTCTCTCTCTCGCTGTATGCGATCCTGTTCTCGTCTCCTTTCATGTTCTATGTGCATCCGCTCTCGCTCCAGGCGCTCTCTTTCCATCCGCTCTCGCTCCAGGCGCTCTCGTTCAATCTGTAGGCGCTCTCGAGCGATCTCAAGCCTGTCTCTTTCTTCTCGTTCCCGTATGGTTTGCAAATGCTGCTGTCTCTCCCGACGCTCACGGGTGCTATATAAACAGCAAGGTAAAAGGTGTAAAGATTTAACCCTTCAATGCTGAAAATGAATTACAAAGCAAAAATAGGAACTGCAATAATCCTAGATTTGTGTTGGGGGTTCCCTCTAACAGGCTACGGGGTATTCAGCACTGAGGATGGCTGCTCACCTGTAACTGGAGTTCAATTATATCACCGCCACAGTAGCATGCACATCCTCACAGATCTGAACATTAGGTGCGAGGTCAAGGGACCATGATCCTAAATGCCCTAAATTCATTCCTATTACTCAAAATATCATCCAAGGACTGTGAAGAAGCAGGAAAGGAGGGTGGGTTAGTGTGAATCTGCAAAGGCTAAGAACTGAGTAACCTCTCTTCCCATCAAGAACTACCTTGGAATATCCACTGTTAAGAGGGCTGAAAACTGAATATAGAGTCTAATCTATTTAGATCTATGAACAGATACAGATTCATCCAACAAAAACAAAAACAAAAAAATACTAAAAACCATGTTGAAGTCTTATGAAAGGGGTTGGGGTTTTTTTTTTACCCTACCCAGATTTAGCTTTCCCTAGATAAGCTGTGAAATTTTGCAAAGGATGGGAAATGGATGCACTGATTAAGATGGAGTAAAGATCAAGGAATTTAGAATGTGGACACAGTACTACCTTTATCCTTTTATAGAACACTATGAAAGGAGTATCAGAAATAAATAAGCATCTGCACTAGGTCCCTCTCTGAGCTGAAAGGACACAGAGAATGCAGCTTTGAGGGACTGTTGGTAAACCATCATTTATATTTCTATACATAGAATCATAGGACTGGAAGGGACCTCAAGAGGTCATCTAGTCCAGTGCCCCGCACTCACGGCAGGACTAGGTATTATCTAGACCATTCCTGACAGGTGTTTGTCCAACCTGCTCTTAAATATCTCTAATGATGGAGATTCCACAACCTCCCTAGGCAATTTATTTCAGTGCTTAACCACTCTGACAGTTAGGAAGTTTTTCCTAATGTCCAGCCTAAACTTCCCTTGCTGCAATTTAAGCCCAACTTTGCATACATGCGTAACCAGCTTTTTTAAAATTTCGAATTACTTGCAAACTTTGAATGGTCTGACAAGGTTAGTTACCTAAAAGGGAGCTAAGATTCACGCTGCTAGATGGAAAGAGTCTGGATGAAAATCTGCCCCTGATTTTGAGACAGAATCTTCCTCTTAGGCACTTGCCTGAAAGCACTGAATTGGGTGGGATGGAATTGTTTTGGGGGATTTTCCTCTCTCTTGCCTGATCATGTGTGTGCCTGGAGCCAAGCAGCAGAGAATACTTAACATTACTTAAACCTATGTACAAAATGGAAAAGGCAGAGGATGACAATTTGAGCTAGGTTTTCACATATAGCTCAAATTGTCACCTCTGACTTTTCCATTTTGTACATTTTTTCTGTTTTCACATATGTTCAGATCCAAAGAGGGTACATGAATAACCTCAACAATCAGTGCTTTGCAGTCTCTTCTTGGGCTTGTGGCCTCCTGATGTGTGACCTGACAGTGGGCATCTACATGGGCAATGCTTAATTGAATAAAAAAACTATAGTTCATATACCAATGATAAAAGGACTAGGTGCCCTTTAGCTTTAGTGAGAAGTCAGTCACCAAAGTTCTAAAAAGAAAAAAAAAATTCCAAACAACTTTGCCATTGAACTTACCGGCGTTGTTCTGCCTCTCTAATTTTTCGCTGTGCTTTGATTTTGTCGAATGGCACAATACCTTGTCTCTCTTTGCTCTCTGATTTGCGGTCCTGGCTCTTAACGCTCTATAGTAAATATAAAAGTTGATAAAGGCTTACTGGAGTGCATTTCTAAGAACACAATTATGATAACAGATCAAACAATATTCAAAATCCCTTCCTTTCACAAATGGTATGTCTGAGAGCTTAGTCTCTGCATGAATTTTTTTAACGTATTTATTCCTTTTATAAGTGCAGACAAAACTCACAAAAGAAACATGTCTTAGCTTGAGTGCAATGCTGGAGTTTTGTGATGTCAGCCATTTAAAAGCTATTTTACTAATGGGAATTTTGAACCCAAAAAAATTAAACTTACTCTCTCTTTTGATGTAGTTGAAGTTTTCACGCTAATAACAGGTTCTCCTTTGGATTTGTCCATTACTACTATCCTCTCTGCTCCCTTACTTCCTACACAAACCACAACAAAAGGAGATTACATAATATAATGGGAGCTTTGACTTTCAATGGCATAAGTCCTCAAAACGTGAACATTTTTAACATTAACCGACTTTTCAAAATGCTGTTTCACAGAAGTGACTTCTGCAATTTGTACCCATAACATAAAGTAACATTTTTAGTTTATCTTTGCTACTTTACAAACTGAGTTACACCAGGGGAAGATCCCTTGTCAGACTTTTAGATGCTACTTGATATTAAAGAGATATCAAAGTGATCAGGTACATAGTGAATACATTTTTATACAACTGTTTCAATTTCTAAAACCAACAGATACTAAATATGAAATGCACTTGTCAGCATAACCTGAATCATTCAATAATGATTGTTATAACAAAGAAACAGAATCCATAAACAAGATACAAGTTTTATAATTTTGGCAGTTTCCATCAGATACTAGTTATGGGTAAGTTTTACTTACTGTTTAGTTTACTACTAAGTTATATTTGATTAAATTACCCACCCTGTGTGTTCACAAATATATCAGGCATGGAGACATAAGAGAAGTTGAAATAGAAAAACAAAATCCTATGTTTTCTCATTCTACCCAGCATTTACTACATAACTAGGGCGATGTAAAAGTCCTGTGTGACATTTTTTGACTACACATCCTATTTCTAATTGCATTCACTTGAAGTATCCTAACATATATAGCAAATAGTGCTTGTTTCTAAGCTTCCACCCTAAAAATGGACCTGATAGACATCAAGGCTAATAATAACATAGGTAGCTGTGTAACTGTGACTATTTCACATATGTGCATGTAATACTCCATTTTTCAAATGATCAGTTCCACAAAGTCTTGACAGAACAGCAGCAGCATGTCATCACCCAAAATTATGCACAACAACTCTGTTTAATATGATGACTAAAACTTAGTCAGCTACAGCAATTTTTAAAAAAGTACTATCCTATCTTCCATCTTACAATCCCAAAAGATTTTACAAAACAATGAAATCATTTGGTTTGGGAAGACACAATTGTAAGCATCCACACGAATCATGCCTATACTCTATAACAAAACAGCAGTTAAATTACCTGATTTTGTAGTCTTCAGTTGATCTGATGACCCAGACTTCAGCTCATCTTTATCCTTCTCTTCTTTTTCATCTTTTCCTTCTGCTTTCTTAGCATCATCTTGTTGGTCAGTCTTCTCATCCTTTTTAACACTGCCAGACCTATAGAAAATAAACTGATTTAAAACTGAAGGAAAAAACTCAACACCACATTGACAAAGAATGATATGAATGTGCAGAAAGTCTGAGATAAAAGCAGCTTGATATAAATGTCCTTTTGCATATAAGGCATTGGCTTAAGTCTCTGGAAGAGATGCACATTATGTTCAATGGCACTGATACTGAAGATGCTAATTCCTCTGTTGGCATGAAGTGAAAAAGATCAGAACCTACTGTACAGCTTCAAAGAAGTTTTGGCCTAGCATAAGATCAGGATAACTGAACTATACACAATAGGAAAACACACACTATGGTGTGCCTAATGCCAGAGAAGATTCCTGAGAGAAAACATGGCAACCAACGTCAAACTAGTAGGGTTTTTGTAGCATGGCTGCTGAACCCAACAAAACTGACACTATACAGTAGGTGGGCAAAGCCTCTCATAAAATTAAGTTTCCAGAGGTGAGGGCTAAATTAAACTAAGCCAAAAACTAGTTATCAAACAGCATTTGACAAGAAAGTTATGCTTCAAGAAAACATTTAAAGCAGAGGACTTATCTGAACCCTTCTGGCTACTCTAAGTATTCCTAAAATGAAAAGCAGTGTGGCACTGACAAGAACAAATGGTGGGAACAGAATCTTGAACATCTGCTCTCCAACTGTTGGTTATCACAGTAGCACTAGGTAGCCCTGTTCCATGAGAGAATCTCTCATGTGTAAAAAGCTCTAGTACGGGAACAGACTAAAGAACAGATCAGAACTCTGGAGTGGCGCTCTTTATTGGTTTATGATATTGACGTGTAGCAGGCTTTATTGCAGGCTGCCATAAGAAGATCTAGATATACCAAAAAGCCTATGACTGAGAAAACATGGGTCTTATATATGCCTAACCAGGCATGCAATTGAAATATCTGCACTTCACTCACTGTTAACTTTTATAATAGTATATTTGGTAATAAAGATCAGAAAGAACAGTCATTACGATAAAACATCAGAGAGCCAAAAAAAAAAAACAAACAACAAAAAAACCTGAACTGGAAAATGGAACTGAGAAATGCAACTGAGGTAGGGAGTAAGGTTCCAAGTGCATACAAGGGAAGTTAGCATTCAAGGAAAATAACCAATTTCAGAGATTTCTCCACCCCCAACAATAATCAGGATACTTCAAAGTCTACACAGGAAAGTCAGGGTGGAGATCTTTTAATGAAATTCAATCAGGGATTTATGTCTTCAGTGTTTTTTTAACTCATTTTTACTGTTTTTTTTTTTTTTTTTTTTGTTGCTATTTAAGCCTTATTAGTTCCTAGATAATCAGATACAGATTTGATTTGTGACTGCAAACGTGACCAGAAATGTGACAATGAAACACAAATATTGCTTCCATTCATATTCCTATTTTTGCATGCATCACTCCAGACCTCTTTGTGTATTCACTTTGCTCACTTAACACAGCTTTGTTTTTCCAGACAAAGCAGAAAATACCCCAAAACAATCAAACTATTTTTCAGATATAGAATCTATAAAATGATACCTCTCACTGACAACTGTCTCCTTCTTCACTTCACTCTCTTTTTTCTCTGTAGGTTTTTTCCCAGCAGGTTCATTTTTTGCCTGAAATTATATTTGACAAACACCAGTTGAAACATTTCAGTAATTTAGGAATTCTTAGATGGGGTTATTCTATCTTTTGTTGAGAATTATCACTTACTTTTTCTACAGAAATTATTTTCCCATGTAACTCTGTTTTGTGAAGGTGTGTAATACATTTTGTTGCCTCCTCAGCTGTAGACATTGTAACAAACCCATAGCAGCGAGAACCAGGACTACGAGCATTGGTCACCACTTTTGCACCAACCACCTTAAGGAGGACAATTATAGTGTCACTCTAATATAAGTACACAACACACACATACACAGCCCATTTATAACCTTAAAATATTAGCTTCTTTCTCCCCCACCTCTTTTACCTACTCTAATGCAGCCTATCATACCTGGAACATCTGTTTTTAAGTGACAAACAACTATGAAAACAATATCTTTTGGAACCAAGCATTGTAAGTGCAATGTTGCAAAAGTTCAACTGGTGAAAAGCAGACAATGTGAAATCTATTTATAAGAAATCCTCTAAAATCAATTAGCTCTTCTGTGCATCACCACCATCATTTTGATGAATGGCAACAAGAAGAACAACGGTCAAGGGCAAGTGTAATTTCCACCCGTGTTGATACTAGTTCAACAATCTCCTAGGATGAGTCCCAATGTCAATATCAAAAATGTAACTTTTCAGTCATTGGTAGTCGTATGCACAAAATATTAACTAATTTTTTTCAAATACAATTCAGTTTGAGAGACGGGAAGCACTCACCAAAAATACGATTTTAAAAAGCCTACTTATATGCAATTTTCAAGTACGCTACAGAAGACCGGGAAGAAAATGTTGAAACAGCACGTATAGATAAGTATTTCCATAAAAGCTCTTTTTATGCAGATAAAGTCTATACAGCACATTTTATACTGGGGGAATAAATCAGAAATTCACATAGGCTTCCCTTTTTAAAGTGCAGCTGAAGGCGGAATATGCTTTTAACAAACACGTAATTTACCGTAGATGTACTTTTGCCTCTTGTAAGTTTAACTTTCTCCATAATTAACATTCCAAAGAAGAACGTGGATTCTTTTGTTTGAATTACAGTCACTGCTGTCAGATTATTCAGGCAAATACAAAGACAGCTGTCACTGGTAGTTTGGATTCACATTTGTGTCATTTCTCTAGAATCATCTCCTCCCAGATCATCAGATGAAATTTTGGATTAAACTAAGCAAAATGAGTACACCTTATTTTAATAATGTAGTTTGACATAGTTAATTTTCTTGGCATGAAATGCAATAACCACATGCAATTCAAACAAATCCCCGGATGTGCTGAACTTAATTCATTTGATTTAATATAAGATCACAATATATTAAGTTTTGCTTTTTCTCAAGTTAAATTTGCGGAAAGCCATTGCCACCGCTTGCAGTGGGGACAGTATTTAAGCATTATCATCTGACAATGTCGTTTTAAAGTACGCTACTGAACCTCTGAGAAAATACTTAAATATTCCCTCATGTATGAGGGAAGTTACTAATTTTGGCATCCATCATCTATTAAATCAGCCCTTCCAATTTTCCTCTTAACAGGGGTTACGGGATTTAATTCAGCACACAATTAACAGCAGCATACAAAACCTTTTTTCAGGTGTTAAAGCCATTAGCCTAAATTGATTCAAACTAGGATCTGGAGAGGAAAGGATATTTTTTGTATTGGGTGAGGGACAAAATACAAAAGCTTAAATGGCTTAGATTAGTACATCTTATTTGCTGTGTGTGCACCAAGAATATTTTTGACAATTTACACTTCCAATTACCTGTACTTCATCTGTGGTACAGGTATTCCATTAAAATACTTTAAATAGCAAACACCAAGAGAAGAAATATCGTTAGCTAGTTTGGGGTAAAAGGATCAAAAACCTTACCTTTCCGTATTTGCTAAAAAGATTCTTCAAGTCTGTAGCTCTAGTAGTGGAGGCAAGTCCACTCACCCAAAAGTTTCTACCAGAACTGCTACTAGCACGACCTAATTCAAAAAGAAAACTCATTATTTCACCATAATTAAAAAAAGCAATTCCAGTTCACATTCTTTAGTCACAGGTCAACTGAAATACACTGTAAAATTTACCTTCACTGATTGACATTCTTGAAAATGATTAGTACCTTTAAGATCGAAGTATATAGTACATTACTTTACAAACACTCACACTCCACTAAATAGAATGGTTACTCACCTTAGATAACTGTGGTTCTTAAGAGATGTTTTGTCCATGTGGATCCCACTTATGGCACAAATATTCCTCATGCGTGAGAGACTGGAATTTTTGACCATTCAATCTAGACTCCTAAGTGCCTAAATCCCTTTAGAAAATGAGATTTAGGCTCATAAATTAGTTAGGTGTTGTGGCGCTGAGTGCAGCAAAACCTAAATACCTTTAAAAATATGGGCCTACGTGTCTTAGGAACCTCAGTGACTTGAAAAAAATGGATTTTAGGTATTTCTAAGGTAAAATTTTCAATCACCTAATCCAGGGTATAATGGCTGTTAAAGGTATGGGTTGAGCTCCAAGTGGCAGCCTTGCAGATTTGATATAGGAAAACTTCTTAGGCATCCTGAAAAGGGTGTCTCGCTTTAGTTGTGTGGGCCTTGAGGCCCAACGGAGGGGGCCTATCTACTCATGGGTAACAAATTGCAATGCACTGAGTGACCCACTTGGATCCATCCACATAAGCATAGCCCTGAAAAACAGGTTCTACTAGCTGTTGAAATGCTTTACTGGCTTCCACTTGAGCTGTATTCTGCACACAGATCTTCCAGCTGGCAACTCTGCCTTGCAAAATCCCTATACAGGTGTGGGTCTACTCTGCTCTGATTACCTGATGTGCTGTCAATGCATTAAATTGGGCTTGGGAGAGTTTTCAGCCACCTATGAAATGTCCTTGCTGTCCATAATTGAAACATGTATTTTTATCAATCCTAGTACCACTCGCTTACCGATTTCCTTAGGCTTCTGAGTGGTCAAATGTCCTCCTTAACTGGGTGGAGCAGATCTTGATCTAGCTATCTGCAATTGAACCAACAGTTGCTCAGTTTGGAGATATTTCTCTTTCAGTCTCTTAGAACTGCTCTAATATTCCTTTCAGTTCCTTCACCAAATGCAGGCTAGCTTTAAAAATTTTATTAAGATGATGTTAAAAAAAAAGTGAACAGAGTTTGAGGATAGAAGTTTCTGGTTATCAGGGAATAACGTACAGATTATCGAGGGTGCAAAGTCTGGTTTAAGATCAGGTGGCATAAGGAATACATAATCGGCAGTATCCCCGATTGGGGGTAAAAGGTTGATGGGTCAAAGTACAGGCATTGAGATATGAGGGTATGAAGTTCATATACTAAAGCCCTTCTCTTCTCTTGACAAAGTTCTCTTTTCCAAATCAGGTTCTCACTTCCAACAAGAGTTGTGCACTGGAAATGTTTCTCTGTCAACCATCTGGACTAAAACCCTTGTGATCCTCAGTGTGGTTAGCAATGATTTGCTAACCTGGTCTTGTATACAAGCGTCTAATTCTGCATATTTCTCTCCAGCTCAAGAATTTTTTGGACTAATGCATGTAATCTGCTCAGGTACACAGGCTGTTCTCCAGTATGTTGATCAGTTTCAGAAACTGAGGCTTAAGCTCTGACGCTCTCTCTACTCCTCCATATGCCTTTTCAAGACTCTTAAAAACAGTCTCCAGCACTTGCCTGGATACCAGCTACTAAAGCTATCCTCACTGCTGGGGTCAATGCATTCTCAGTGATATTCCCTCTCTTTATCTTGTCAGAGATTTCAACACCTTCCATAAATTCTCTGGTTTGAGCTTGCCAGGTAGGATAATCAACCCCTCCACTGAGCCTGGGTGACCTGTCTGAAAAACATTGCAATTTAAACTTTATATCTGTCATTCTGTCTCTCACTGGCAGATTTCAAAACCTGCTCTTAAGACAAAGATTTACAGCAGGAACAGATGCTTCCACTGAATGACTACCTGTTAACCCTCTAGTTTGTCAGCCACATGTGTAAATAGTCTGTCAGCATCAGATCCTCCATCAGAATGTTCAGGATCCCCATGCTCATTGTGCTGGGAATCTGTGAGCAGTTCTAGTGGATGTAAGTAGCACAACCCTATGGTGAATAGATATCACAACCCATTTCTTCACTAATCTGTGTATTTCACACAGTCTCTCCCCCTCTGTGTATTATGGAGGCAAGATCTGGACATTCACAAAGCATATAAAACTGTTCTCCTTCAAAGCTCTGTATATCAATTACCTGACCATATGCCCACCTATCAGCCCGCCTTACTGCTTCTGTACTATCAGTATGAGACACATCACTGATGAGAATGGGTGTGTAGGAATTCAGCCCAAATGTCTGCAAGTATCCATAGTGCTAGACAACAGAATCAATACAGTACATGCACACACATATACTACCACTCTAATCTCTCTGACTGAATGATACTGATTGTCTCAGAAAGAGAAATCAGTTAAAACCGTGCAAGTCTCAAGTCCAATTTTTGGCACCATTTGTGTAACCGGAAAGGGGGGCAGATGAAGAAATATTACATATAACTATTACACTCCCCTTTTTCTTGCACCTCAGCTTAACATTTTTCTGAAGCACAAGCCAGAGTTCTCTCTTTATGCATTATGCAGTTAAACCTCATGGCTATTGTATGTAAAACCCTGAACAGCTGTTAACTGTTCCCAGCCAGCTTCAAAGAGAGTACTATACAATTTCTTAGTACACAAAGATTTAAGACACAAAAATATCGTAAACAGTATTTGGAATACTTATGAATATTTTTAAATAAAGCCTTTTAGAATGTAATAGAAACATCGGTAGATTTACAAACTGTCCCATTTTGTTGCTGTTATATATATTTAAATGTAAGGTTTCAACATAACATTTGCACTTCTATACTTTAGCACGCACATATAAACAAAACCCCACTGATCCTGTTTCAGGGGATTTTTCAGTCTTTATAGTGTGGCCCTAATATGTATAGCATCACCTGGATTCTTCAGAGCTTGAGAAGAATGGAAAAGAATAGCGATATTGCCAAACACACCAGAGCCTTGTCAGCAAACAAAAATCTGGGAATCCTTACAGCTAGGATTCCAGCCCCTGGATTAATAGTTCCTGGTCTCAGTTGTTGGTGAAATAGAAATCTGAAGCCTATAACCAAAGTGGTAGAGGTACTGGGATCAACATTTAAAATATCTATCCCCTGCATTTCTCTGAAGCGCTCACTCTATAGGGTACTATCTTTCCCCCCACAAACCCAGCTAAGTCAGGTAAGAATTTACAAACCTTTACCTCACTGAGCTCTGCTCTGTTCTCTCTCAGACAAACCCCCCTTTTAACCTCCACCTCCTCCCTCACCTAAACTGCGATTGGCACAGCTCTCAACTAGTGAATGTGTGGGACCTGAACAACTGCTCGCCCTAAATGAACGCTACTCCCGCAGCTTCAGAAGCAGCTACTGAGCATGTCTATTAATGCCACATGTGCTTCTGGATGTCCTGGGTCCTTCCACCGGCCCTTGGGTCTCAAAGTTTCGAAGGAAAGAATCCTGGAAGGATCCTGGGCTGGTATTTTCTCTGAGGAAAAAGAAAGCATTTGATGTTCTTGTGGGCAAACAGGTATACCATGGGAGGGCTCTATTTGCAGAATAGAGGCTTTAGGATGGAGTCCGTCAGCAACTACTAGTGGTTGGCTGAATACTGAATGTTGAGGCAATTATGCCAAATTGTTTGTTCCTGGTAGTTATCCTGTAACGATGGCACTAATTCCATAGCTTGATTGTCTCCTGACAAAGAGAGGATGAGTTGGCACCCTCCTGCCTACTGATATAAAATATTACTTTACCGAGGTGTTGCTGTACTGTGGTTCTTTTCAGGAGCATCAGAAAAGCTCTTTAAGTTAGTCAAAACATCTCGAGTTTCAGCACATTGATATGGAGTAAGGATTCTTCCCAGGACAACACGCCTTACATTTGTAGGTAGTTTAAATGGACTAGAAACCTGCTATGGAGACACTTGTAATCTTTATCGCTGTGGGAGGAGAGGTGCAGGAATGGTATCTCTTCTTTGCAGCCTAACTAGGGATAGGTCCACCAGTCCAAGGAAACTACTATACAAGTTGGAAACACGAGACAAATATTTGTATTTGGTGGGTTGGTAAACAAGACTTCAGCCAGCCTCGAAGGTGAAGACTTGCAAGAAGTGTCACATGAGTGCACAAGGCCATGTAACTTAACAGTTTAAGAGATTCTTGCTGTTGTTGCAGGGTTTCCCTGAGGATGAAGATCAGGGGCATGACAGCCTCAAATCTGTCTTGAGGAAGGTATTCCTTTGCTGTATTGGAATCTAGAAAAGCCCCTATAAAATACTATGGACTGGGTTGGCCAACCTCAATTTGGAGGATCCAGAAAGGCCGAACAAAGGGTTTGCTGACCGTCTCAATACTGGTAAGGAGACTTAGCACAGAGTCCCTACTTACAAAGGCATAAGAACGGCCATACTAGGTCAGATCAAAGGTCCATCTAGCCCAGTATCCTGTTTTCCGACAATGGCCAATGCCAGGTCCTCCAGAGGGAATGAACAGAACAGGTAATCCCGTCGCCCATTCCCAGCTTCTGGCAAACAGAGGTTAGGGACATCATCCCTACACATCCTGGCTAATAGCAATTGATGGACAGATCCTCCGTGAACTTATCTAGTTTTTTTTTTAACCCTGTCATAGACTTGGTCTTCACACATCCTCTGGCAAGGAGTTCCACAGGTCGACTGTGCGTTGTGTGAAAAAATACTTCCTCTTGTTTGTTTTAAACCTGCTGCCTATTCATTTCATTTGGTGACCCCTGGTTCTTGTGTTATGAGAAGGAGTAAATAACACTTCCTTATTTACTTTCTCCACACCAGTCATGATTTTATAGACTTCTATCACATCCCCCCTCTTAGTCATCTCGTTTCCAAGCTGAAAAGTCCCAGTCTTATTAAGCTCTCCTCACAGGGAAGCCGTTTCATACCCTAATAATTTTTGTTGCCCATTTCTGAACCTTTTCCAATTCCAACACATCTTTTTTGATATGGGGCGACCACATCTGCACGCAGTATTCAAGATGCGGGCATACCATGGACTTATATGGAGGCAAGATGATATTTTCTGTCTTATTACCTATCCCTTTCCTAATGACTCCCAACAGTCTGTTTGCTTTTTTGACTGCTGCTGCACATTGAGTGGATGTTTTCAGAGAACTATCCACAATGACTCCAAGATCTCTTTCCTGAGTGGTAACAGCTAATTTAGACCCCATCATTTTATATGTATAGTTGGGATTACGTTTTTCCAATATGCATTACTTTGCGTTTCTTAACACTGAATTTCATCTGCCATTTTGTTGCCCAATCATCCAGTTTTGTGAGATCTTTTTGTAGCTCTTCGCAGTCTGCTTGGGACTTAACTATCTTGAGTAGTTTTGTATCATCTGCAAATTTTGCCACCTCACTGTTTACCCCCTTTTCCAGATCATTTATGAATATGTTGAATAGGATTGGTCCCAGTACAGAGCCCTGGGGGACACCACTATTTACCTCTCTCCAGTCTGAAAACTGACGATTTATTCCTATCCTTTGTTTCCTATCTTTTAACCAGTTACCAATCCATGAGAGGATCTTCCCCTCTTATCCCATGACAGCTCACTTTTTGGAATCAGAGGAACGTCTTTCCAAACCTAATGCTCCCTATATGAATTGTTCAAGAAGGTAGAAATAGCTACAGAGTGATGAGTTCTGGTGGAAAAAGATCAGCATATGGTCCAGAATGTGGCCTTCAGAAAAACAGATAATACACTAAGAGTGTCTATCCGTTAATGGAATAAGTCCATTTGGCTCGATGTCAGCGTTTAGGCTCAGCCACTAGGTGAAGAGGTGCCAAGTAGGAGTCAGAAGGAGGAAGAAAATTTAAAGAAAATGAATAAGAGACTGCCAAAAGGGCAGAAAAGTGTCCTTAAATACTTACAGCAATTACTAATATTTACAAAACTGATTTGATGAAAGGGTGCCAGCAGGCAGACACTGCCAAGTTCTGTTTTATTGCTGGAGTGGTCAGACCTAACAGAGAGGCAGTTGGATCCGCACTGCCCTACATACCCTTGAATGGGGAGGTGAGACAGAGGTATAAGGACATGCACAGGCAATGAGGCCCAGCTGACACTCCTGGGTGAAAGATCATGATCTTACTCGCATATGGTGTGTACATGCCCCATAAGTGGGATCCACAAAGACAGATTCCATGAAGAAAAAAGAATTTGACTGAGGGAGGCAGCCTTTGAAGATTGACATGGAAGTGTACAGCTATTGCAATTTAGATTTATATGCAATTATTAGAATCCTTACTTTAGCAAAACAGAAGATTATATATAAATATATGAAACAAATGTATCAAACTGAGTAGAATTATGAAAAGCTCTTCACCCAATGAGGTGTCCATAAGCACCTTCACTGGTTGAAGGACGTATTTGCCACGTATTAAAGGTTTTCTTTGAAGTCACTGTTACAATTTGTGGGATATAGTCACCTGATATCTATAGAAAATGATTAGAACAAGAAGCTTTCCATGGTACACACTAAGTATTTTTTTAAACAAAATGGTTACATAATGCAGATAGAAAGACAAACAAATCTTGCAATCATTTAAATCAATAACAGCACTTCCACTGATTTCAATTATGTACATTTACAATAACCTACTCTGCAAAAAAGGCAAAGAAATTACACAAGTTTTACCAAATGAATCCTAGGATGAAGATTATTTTCCTTTACAACATACCTTTCTCATCTTTTGACACTGTCTTTGTATCTCTGTCCTCCTCAGGGCTAAAGACAAAAATTGATGTTAATCAATAAGGAAACAAAAAGGAAAATTAACTCTAAATTATGGTATTAAAATACCTACCAGAAACTAGTTGAGAAACAAAAGACACCTTTGCAAACTTGTATTAAGAAATCTGACATGAAATAAGGGAAGTCAGATTCTTAAACTTAAGTCTGGCAGAAGATAAAAATAAGAATTTAATAAAACAACCTTTGAAGGTTGAGGAAAGGAAGGAAAATCAAACCATCAGTTAAAAATTGCACAAGAAGAAATAAAAGATTCTTTAGGAATAGACTACAATTTCATCAGTCTTGCTGGCCAATTGAAGGAAACAGCTTACTTGCATCACTTAATGACCAATAAAAAAAGATAGCATCTGGTCTAAAACTGAGAAAAAACAAACCTCTTTTTCTGATCACCGCCCTCATTGGTAGAGGACTCTTTAGTAGCAGATGATTCTTCAGAATTAGCTTTGTCTTCTGTTTTCTTGGCATCTTCTTTACTATCTTTGGTTTCAGGACCTGCATCTTTATCCGCTGTTTCCCCACTAGAGGCTTCCAGACCTTGTGATGGTTTGCTACTCTGATCACTTATGTTTTCTACTACTAAAGATTCAGAGTCCATTTTCTCTTCATCTATTGTCTGTTCACTTGTCTCCCCTTTTGCTACAACTAAATGCTTTGCTTCCTTCCTTGAAAGATCTTGTGCTGACTTGCTGTCCAAATCTAAAGCATCTTCCTCCGACTGACTGGCAGCAAGAGCGTCCTCTTCCTCTGCTAGCTTTTTGCCTGCCACGGCGTTACTTGCTTCTTGTGCATATGGCTGCTCCACTTCGGAAATTTCTTCTTTAAGTGGTTCAGATTTACAAGTTTCCCCCAAAATCTCGAGTATTTTCTCATTTTCTACGGATTTAACAGGAATAGAATGGCACAAGATTTAATCACCAGGGAAATAAAGCAATCACAAATGTGGAACTGGCATGGCTGCCACACTAACACCAAGAGAAGTTCTAAGCTACACAGAGATTGGAAAACCTAATGTACACAATATTAAAGTTCTAAACTATTTGCAGCCTAACAAATTATATTAAGCCCAAATGTTATAGGGAAGAAAATGCCCCCACAGATTTAATAAAAACCTTCTGGCTGGTCCTTGACATTCTTCATGAAACTGTTCAGTTCTGGTTCTTCTCAATTTAACTTCCACAATCCAAGATGCTTAACTGAATGTATCAATGCACTGAAAGTTCAATTTTCTAATTTCTGTGAATTTCTTTTAGCAGACACTCCAACATGAAAACTGGGACATCTTCTGATGTATATTTTCAGTCCAGAAAGTGAATAGAATCTGTATGGAATTTCCATGAAGAAACTGTCTTCTTTCTTCTGTATCCAGTTACTAATTTTTAAATTTTAGGTCCCTACAATGGCTTTATACTGCCTTTTCTGCTCTACTAGTTAAAAAGTTAAGATACTCTGATATCACAAGATCTGTTTAACATGTAGAATCTTTAGCTTTTAAACTGAAATTAACTTTTCTAGATCCATTTACGTAGTTTAGGAGGCTTTTAAATAACCACTTTATGTCAGTGAAAATATTTAAATGACAGACATTAGTTCACAGATCTGGGGATATGATTGGGTTTCCAATCTCTATGATCCTTGCATGATCTGGATTGTCCACCATAGGAATAATGCAAACTATAACATTGCATTTTTTGTTAAAATAACTAGTGTTTTAAAAAGGGTTAGTTGAAAAGATGGGATTACATTGTTCTTTAATAGTACCTGGCTCCAAGGGTGATTCCTCGATTTTCTGCAAGGAAAAAAATAAAACATTGCAAACACTTTTATAAACCTAATAAACTGAGTCTAAATTACAAAGATAGAATTTTAGACTATTTGAAGTTACAGTAATTCAGATACTGTATTTAAAACTGGCTCATCTAGAACCATTTCAAATGACTGTTTATATAAATGTGTATTTGCTTAAACAAAACCACAAAATAAATCAAAACTACCTGAGTTCAGCTACATTTGTTATGTGTCTTTCTAGCTAACTCAGGATATATCTACACTATGGACCTTACAGTGGCACAGCTGTGGCCTGCAAGGTCTCCTGTGTAGCCGCTCTATGCCAGCATGAGAGAGCTCTCCTGCTGGCATAATTAAACCATTCCTAACGAGCAGTGGTAGTCATTTTGGCAGGAGAACATCTCCCGTGGACACAGCGCTGTCCACACTGGCGCTTTTGTCCATGAAACTTTTGTTGGTCGGGGTGTGTGTGTTTTTTTCACACCCCGACCGACAAAAATTTTACCCACAAAAGTGCAAGTGTAGACAAAGCCTGGGAATACTAAAGGCATTAGAAAGAACATTTATGTCTAACATGCCAAAAATAATAAATATGGAGAAAACATATTGCACATTTGTACTAACCATTGTAATTCACAATGATGAAAAAGGAAATGAAGTGAACTGAACATCAGATTATGTAATGTTAGCATTAATGCGGTATTTTTTTGTTTCCTCTCTAAAAGAAAGGAAATCAAAACATGTATAGCGGGGGTATTTCAGTTATATTGGTGCCTACACAAAAGGAAGTTAAACTTTCCAAACTAAAACCACTTTTATTTACAACTCAAATAGTAGAGGATGATGATTTCTCAAAGCGGGCAGCAAACACTGGCAGATGTGCTCAGTTTATAGATATGAGCAAAGGTAGTGTCCAGACTCCAAAATAAGTAGGCACTGCCCTGCTGAGACCCCACTGTCATTATGACTTTATTAAGCATCACAACATCTATACTAAATCATAATATGAACTACAAGTAGAGTAAAAGAGTTGAGTTCAGTTTTATTATGTTTAGAGACTAACTGGCAATTTTCTATGTAGGACCGAAAATAACCCGCAGCATAGCTAAAATTTCAATTTACCTTCATGATATTTAAATCAGATGAGGCAGCATCTACGTTGTTTCCAATTTCCTCACAGTCTTCCTGAAAGATTGAATGGAAAATATTTCACTCCTTACAAAAGATTAACTACAGCTTTACAGATAAAAACCTACATAAAATATTGGAAGGTAGGAGAAACAACACTACTTTATCTGACTTTCCCAGGGAGATAGCATTGGTATAAATATTTACCAATAGTGAGAGGAACTTTTGCTCCCAAACCTCAAAATACTACCCAAGAACGCTGAAAAAATGTCAGGATAATTTTTCTAACAATTTAATGAAATTTTCATTAGCAATAAAACATCAGTTTACAATGGTCTTGTGCACTTAAAAAAAGCTTCTGATCTGAAGAGAAAATGTGTTAATTTGTTTGATAGCTTTACACATTGTTATGTCTCATTGCCTTGCTTCTCCTGTTTCTAAAGGGAAAAAAGTAATCTGAATTAGTTAACACAGGACTCATACTCTGGGTTTTTTGGAAACAAAGCATGTCCTACAAGTAACATTCTTGGACTCTGCTGAGAGATGAACAATAAGACGCATCCCTCAAAGCCCCACTATATGATTTAGAGCAGTTTTAACTTGTAGAATACCAGAGGTTTTGCCTTCCAGATTAAGGGGCCAGCACTGCAATGGCAGAATTTAAGATGTAATAGTAATGTTAGTACAAAATTGGCATTCCCAAAATAGAGGAACATAACATTAGGGGAACCCTGCAGTGAGCAAAATATTTAAAATTCTGTGTCAGCCCAGTGAAAATATACTGTACAATAATGCATATTTGGGTCTCTCACAAGGCTCTCAGACATACGAAGGTACAATTTAAAAGAATGAGAACACAGAATTAGGGCAAAATAGAATACGCAAAAACTTAAAACCCAAATATTTTTAACAAGGACATTATTTACATAGAAGGTGTGGAGGAAATGAAAAAAGTCTGACCTCCAAATTATTTCCATTAAGTGGAAAACTAGCATGCAATAAATAAATTTTGATTCCTGACATTTAAGTGAGGCATTATCATCTACAATTTTCAGAAATTGAATATATGAAAAGTCATATCTCCAGTTACCTACCTCATTTTCTGTAAGTTGGTCTGGAAGTTCTTTCATTTCTGCATCA